TGAATTCTTTAAAAAGTATGTAAAATAAAGCATGCAAATAAACAGTATAAAATCAATCAAAGGTTTGAAAAAGAAAGACAAGAATTATTTAAGCACCTGATAAGCTTAAATAATTATAATGCTATTAGAGGTTCATTATATGAGGAACAATTTCTCAATGACCTATATAAAGTTCCATGGAATATGATCCAAAATTTGGATGACATAGATGAAGCTCTGAGGGTGTGGACTGACTTATTTATGGATGTAGTCTCTAAGCATGCATCACTAAAAGTACATGGAGTAAAGAATGAAATCCAACCTAATTGGCTTACAACTGAAATCCTTGATGCTATGAAAACAAGAGACCAATTCATGGCTATGGGAAACCATGCACAATATAAAGTATGGAGAAATAAAATAACAAGTATGATAAAAAAAATCTAATCAAAATTATTATCAATCATTGCTTAAAAACATAAAGAGCGACAAAAACTGCATTTGGAAAGTCTTCAATGAACTCACTGGAGGAACACACAAAGATCAGTTAAATAAAATTCACTCACTTCTGGTAAATGACACCATAGTCACTGATGACAATGACATTGCAAATGTTTTCAATTATTTTTTCACCAACATTACCACAATGTTAAAAGAACCAGTGATTAAAAACAACTTTAATGAACTGAAAAAGTTCTGCAGTAGCAAAATCTCTAAGGAGGTATGTTTCTCTAACCCACCAGTATAAAAAACTTTGCTAAGAAATGTCTCAGTGAACTTGATACTAAGAAAGCTACAGGACTTTATTAGATTGGTCCACCACTCATTGAATCTTCTGTTTGCTATCATAGATAGCATAACATTTATAATCAATTTAAGTATTGCATCCTCATAGTGTCCCCAAAATATAGAAAACTGCAAAAGTAACTCCTATTCGCAAATCTGGTTCTAAGGATGATGCTGATAATTACTGGCCAATCTCAATACTACCAAACTTGTCAAAATTGATTGAAAAGCATGTCCATGATTCATTCCTATCATATTTAACCAAACACTTTCTGTTATACCCTAATCAAAAAGGCTTTAGACAGAAATATTCATGTGAGACTGCCTTGATCTCCCTAACTGATAAATGGCTTCAAGCACTTGATCAAGGTAGAATAATAGGTTCTGTATTTGTAGATTTCAGGAAAGCTTTTGACATGGTGGATTATGAAATCCTTTTGAAGAAACTGAAAATCTACCAATGTTAAAGCAGTTAGATGGTTTACTTCATACTTAAGTGAAAGAACACAACATGTTTATATAAATAATGTTCTGTCTGAACCTGGAACAATTAGATGTGGAGTACTACTAGGCTCAATTCTGGGTCCATTACTGTTTATTTTATTTATTAATGACCTACCACTTGTACTAAAGAACTCATTATCATCTACAGATCTCTATGCAGATGACAAAAGGACTCATTATCATCTACAGATCTCTATGCAGACATCCAAAATACAAAGCAAAAACTCGAAATTTCTTTACAGAATGCCCTAAATAAACTGGATAACTGGTGCACATGCAAATGGCATGGTGGTTAATACTGGTAAAACTAAAATATTACTGATCTCAACAAAAGAACAAAACTTGATAGTGATGAACTATGTCTGACGTGGAAGGATAAAAGGTTACAAATGGTCTGTCACGATAGTCTACTTGGTGTTTTGGTAGATAATAACCTATCATGGACTGAACATATTAAAAATAGCAAAAAAGTCAATTTAAGTTTATGACTTCTCATTAGGATAAGACACTTTCTCCTGGAATAGCACAGAAAACTATTTTATAACAGTTACATACAACACTATTTAGACTACTGTAATATAGTATGGGGTAATTCAAATGATAAAAACTTAGCAAAGCTAGCACATCTCCAAAAAAAGAGCTTTTGAGTTAATATCAATCCAGAATGAAAGCAAGGGAAATTTATTGGTTAAGTTAAAAATATTACCTATTAAAAACCGAATCTGTTTAAGAAAAGCTAAATTAATGTACAGGATAGCCAATAATAGTGCTCCTGAATATTTACAATCACTATTCAAGTATAGGCTGCCTGGAAAAACACCCCACCTGCAATCAATGTCTACCAAACAGTACAAAATTCCCAAACCAAATAAAGAATTATTTAAAAAATGTTTCCAATACTCTGGAACTTTGATTTGGAATAGTATTCTAGTTGAGATTGAAAATGCCCACTCTATTTCCTTTTTCCAAACCCAGTATATACAGTGGCTTCAGAGATGCAGTAAAAATAAGTAAATTCCTTTGAATGAGGGTCTCAAGATAGATTAGTTCTTAGCTGATTGAGTTACCCTCTTTAAATAAAATAATAATAATAATAATAATAATAATAATAATAATAATAATAATAATAATAATAATAATAATAATAATAATAATAAATATAATAATTTGTTGTTGTTGTTGTAGGGTTTAACACCATTTTTCAGCACAAGATAGGCTATACATGGCAGCCAGAATTAATGGTGGAGGAAGAACCCTGCAAAACTCCGGGAAGAACCACCAACCCACGAGAAGCTACTGGCAGGCTTTCTCACTTACCCACACTAGCCGAGCCTTGACTCGAACTCACAACTAACAGAAAGAGGTGAGATGGCAGTGATCCGAAACGGTTATCGCTTTAGACCACAGGGTTACGAGGGGCCCTAATAATAATAATAATAATAATAATAATAATAATAATAATAATAATAATAATAATAATAATAATAATAATAATAATAATAATAATAATTGATTATGACTATGGTCACATGCACTAAGGGCAAGCAATCTCTGGCCTCTTCAGTTTCACTTCAACACATTTTGGCCTCATCTATGAAACTTAATAGCTAACCATTACATGTCTGCCCCCCCTAATTATGTGGCTTGCCAAAGCTTCACTGAAATTTATCAAGATATTGCCAAATATTTCAGTAAAATCTCCATATAGTATAACCAAATCTTTAATTGATGAAATTTCACTGAAATACTAGTGAAATTTCAAAGAAATTTTTGTCATATTTTCACTATGGAGAGCTATGAAAACCTACTGGTTCTCACATACCAAATTTGCCAAGCTTGAGACTTGAAGCCAATTGATGCAACTGATTAGGCATATGTAAAATTGCCAGTCTGAGATTAAATAGACCAGGCATATGTAAAATTGCCAGTCTGAGATAAAATAGACCAGGCATATGTAAAATTGCCAGTCTGAGATAAAATAGACCAGGCATATGTAAAATTGCCAGTCTGAGATTAAATAGACCAGGCATATGTAAAATTGCCAATCTGAGATACAATAGACTAGTCATTTGTAAAATTGCCAATCTGAGATACAATAGACTAGGCATATATAAAATTGCAAGTCTGTGATAAAATAGACCAGGCATATGTAAAACTGCCAGTCAGAGATACAACAGACTGAGCACTGTTCAAACTGCCACTCAGAAAGACAATAGACTGGGCATACATAAAAATGCTAGTCACAGAAATAATAGACCAGGCATATGTAAAATTGTCAGTCAGAGATGCAATAGACCAGGCATATGTAAAACTGCCAGTAAGAGATAGAATAGACCAGTCATAAGTAAAACTGCCAGTCAGAAATACTTCCTTTTAAAATACCAGATGTGACATTTGTTACAACCATGGATTTTACTCTTATAAACTTTAATCAAATGAAAGAGTCAATATTTTCTTGCAGATCAAGAAGCAATAAACCGTATATATCGATGTTAAGTGTTGACTCAATGAGATCCTGATCCTGTAAGATACTATTTACAATTCTTTGCAAATAATTCTTAAGCATGCAAGCTCATCAAACTATAGTCCCTGAAAAAGCCCTTTTTACTTGTGAATAACCTTGATCTGCCAGACCAAAATGTTCCTTTATATGCAAGTGTCCTGCTTGTAGCTGTAGCACAAATTTGGTACTGCACAAAAACCTACATACTTAGTGTGTAGTCTTGTTCCCCGAAATGTGAACCAAGATTTTGATTTCTTTCATTATATTGCAAAAGAAGTGCAAAGCAAACATATGATTTGTGTTCAATTACTCCATGAAAATTTACAACTTTATACTGTGCATAATTAAAAGCACATTTGCTTCTTGTGACAACATCTCTTCAAATCTCTTTGAAAATTACAGGAACATTATTAATTTGATGGCTACATGGCTCTTTAGCGAGTGAAAATCTATATGCAAAATCAATACATGTGGTAGCAGAGTTTGTTGCCAACACACGAAATGCCAGCATTAGCAATTACAGGCATCACGGTCAATTGCACTGATTTGGACATTAAACTCATTTTGTCCAAATATATCACAACAAAGCCTTTTGTTGCACTAATCATCCAACTTTACTCTCTGCTATTCAGTTATCAAAGATGCATTCAAAATGTCAAGTTTCATACATGAATAAATATCAAAAATAAATTATGGAAACAAATTACAGACAATATCAAATAGATCCTGGAAAGTTAAGCAAAGTGACCCATTTATTCTTAAGATCAAAGCAGAACACAATCAAACCCATCTTAACTAGCTACCAATGGGAAAGGGCCAAATTGGCTTTTGTTCAAAGCTGACCTCGGAATGTAAATAACCCATTCAAACTTGGTTCTAAACAAACAATATAAACCAGGTATTAATACCATTATTATTATTATTATTATTATTATTATTATTATTATTATTATTATTATTATTATTATTATTATTTTTATTTAGTGTGTTTGGAGATTTTGTAATTTTTAACATAGCTTTAATAATTTTTCAGTCATATCGTTACAATGTCTGCAGTGTGGCAGTTTATAGTGATATTTGGCACTGGGCATCATGCCGAAGACATGTAGCATGATGTCCCACCCAGTCACATCATCCTGACACCAGGCCAACCAGTTCTAACACTAACCTCTTAATGCTGAGTGTCAAGCGAGGCAGCTGTTAGTACCATTTTTGTAAGTCTTTGTTATGACTTGACTGGGGAATGAACCCACGACCTCCTGCATCCGAGGCAGATGCTCTAACCACTAGGCCACCGGAGCGGTTACTATTATTTAGTAGTAGAAGTAGTAGTAGTAGTAGTGGTAATCTATGCATTATTTGATCATTATTCTTTTTTAAAACACTTAGAACAATATCCTACTATAATTCACCATATATATATATATATATATATATATATATATATATATATATATATATATATATATATATTCAGCATTCTAAATTCTGTTTGGAAAAGGTATTACTTAATAGATATTTTCAAGATTTCCCTCCATTTGATTTCCATGTGGTACATTTTTACCCATATATGGAAAGGAGATAGCTAATTAAGATACTTTTATCCCGCTGCTGGAGTCGCTGTCTCAAAAGTAACCAGACTTAAGTAAATATAGAAATTATCAACCCAATGATCAACTTGTCACCTTCATTGAAAGACTTGACATAATTCAAGGTAAAACACTGTTCCTATCATGCATTTACTATTAAATGGGAACAAAGCTGTCATCTTCAGTTCTCACACAGTCTGGATTGCCTTGAAAACTTGAACAGAATATCTTAAATTGATAAAACAAGGACAATAGTTAGCCCATTATCACTTCTTGGATTAAGAAAATTACCACCAATGGCATAGTATGGCATAGTATACTCAAAAATGATCACTGAAATATTTTGTGCAAAAACCACTTTTTTCTATTACTGACCATGACCTTTGGACCCCAAAATCAATTACTTCTTCCATCCTACAAGTATTAGCCATCCAAAAAGTTTTGTTCAGGTCTGTTTTGTAGAACTAATAATCAAATTCATCTATCTGTCACAGTAACCTTTACCTTCAAAATTTTCATTTCAGAAATGAAAGTTTTCTTCTGAGACACCACCAGTACAAGCCATCCATAAAGGTTTCATCCAAACACATGATGTAGAAACATTGTTCTTGCTGAGAATGCACTTTCTCCTTTTTCACTTACAGTGATCTTGAAATGTGAGCAAAACATCATAGGATTTTTGCTTATCCCAAATTCCAGCCATCCTCAAAGTTTAGTAAGTGTACAGGTGACCTTCACCCCTTCACCATTGAGCTTTTGAGCATAAAAATTAAATCAGTTCTTCCCTTTCCAAAGTGTGGGCCATCCACAATGTTTCATATCAACAGATTGTGGTAAACTCAAGGTTTTGTGCTGAAACCATCAGTCTTCATCCAATGACCTTAACCTTTGATCTTTTGACCCCAAAACTAATAGGGTTCATCCTTATCCCAAGTACACAGTGCACTAAACCATCCACACAATTTAGTAACACTAGATGGTGGACAACTTTAATTATTATGTAAAAATGTATTTAAACAAAACAAATTTAGCATCTAATTGGTTCAACAGGTGGTTCAGGTAAAACCTAAGCTTCTATTAGAAGGATACCACAGTTCTCTAAGGCAACAACTGCTCCAGATGTGCCTCCTACACCATTCTCTGACACTGATGCCCTGGATTCCTCCATTCTACTATTGCCTTACACAATAAATTCTGGATTAAAGTTTAAAAAACACAAAATAAACAAGTTGAAAATGCACACATTAAAAATTAAATTAAATCTCAACCTCAACTAACACAACCTGGAGAAGCTCTAATAAAGAAAAATATTCAATATTTCCAAAGCAATTTCCTCACCTTAAGAAAGATTTTACCAAAAAAAACTCATTAATCCTGATTGGTTGATCAAAGTTGGCTTAAAGCCCATGTACATGATGTACATGCAATACTTCAGTGCCAAGGGCCGATATAAAAAAGGACTGAAAGTCCATGTACACAAAACATGCAATGTCTCTCATGGGCTGATATAAAAAAGAACTGAAAGTCCATGTACACAAAACATGCAATGTCTCTCATGAGCTGATATAAAAATGGACTGAAAGTTCATGTACACAAAACATGCAATGTCTCTCAGGACCTGGTAAAAAAAAAATTAAAATTTATGTACACAAGCATGCAATAACGGTCAGGGGTTGATTCAAGATGGCCGAAAGCCCATGTACAGAAACAAAACCAGAAGCCAGAATAGATACTATGTGCAAGCATCAATATGTAATGATGTTCACCAGTTATCAGATGCTATCATCTGCAATGAAGGAAATGGTGAACTGGAGAAAACATGTTTGTAGTGTTTTGAGTAAAAATATGATCAACTGATTAAAATCATTAAAATTGTCCTCTGCAATTATGTTGCCCTGTGCAAGGATACTTATGTGATCATTGAGTAGGATGTTGGATGTATAGATCTATTTTATAGATGGATTGCCAACTCTGAGGTACTACTATGAGATGGATTTCATCTAACTGTCTACATCAGACACCAAAGAACAATGACATAATAGTTGAAGTAGCTGAAAATTTGATCAAGTAGCTTTCACTTGTGGAAAGGGACAGCAGAAATTTCAATGTAGTGGAGGGAACTGTCATAAAAGGCAAGAAACAACATAACCCTCAAAAAAGTGTTCAAATTGTAATGAAGGAAACCATAACACCAATGAATGCAGGCACTGTGGCCCTTTGCAAGCTGGACATAATGTAACATTGTATGCTGGACTTGACCGTGTCCAAAATTGAGTTTATTTCTGCTTGACTGACTTTTTAAATTTGTTTTATTTCATTTATGTAGACAACTATTAATAACTTCAGTATTCTCTGTGTGTATGAGCTTATTTACAGAATTATTATTCAGGTAAACAAGGAGTAAATATGTTGATTTGAGTCAGGGTTTTGGAGATTCCAAAGTGAATTAAATTATAGACTGTTATGTTGTAAATAAACAAGGATCATTAGATCATTTTAGAGGGTTATTTTCCATTAGGTAATGGTTGTTTTTAGAAAATGCTAATTGTGACCTGATGTCAAGCAGAAAACTATATTATCTTGTGACTGTGAGGATTTTACCAGTCATGCTTTAACATCTAGCACTTTAAGCTGTATTATGTTGTAACCAGTTTGAGCTGAATCTTATGTTCTTCAAATGGTTTCATTCAAGTGATTATTTTCTCTGGAAATAAAAAAGTGCTCTGACAAAATTCTTGTGTAAAGGCATTCACTGGAATTTCTACTGAATTCAAACCTGGAATAATAGTTTTGTTATTCAACAAGAGAATGTTGACACATCAGCACTTTGCAAGCTATAACAGACATATAATATCCTTCAAATTTTGATCCCTTAATGACTTGAACTGAGTTTTATTTAAGTCTTTTTATTAAGACTTCTTTTTCTAATTCTAGGATGCTGAGTGGTTTAATGCACTCATTGTTACAGATCATTACCATCACACCTCTGTCTGCATGGGTTCAAAGCTCAGGTTCAGTCAATATGGGCATGTGAGAAAGCTTGCCAGTAGCTTCTAATGGGTTGGTGTTTCTTTCCGGGGTTTTACAGGTAATATTACTCCAGCATTAATATTAGCCATCATGTATTAGCCTATCTTGTGCTGAAAAATGACATCAAACCCTGCAACAACAACAACATATTTACTATATTTTTTTTATTTAATTCACAATTTCATAAGTTATTTTTTTGGTAATTTTTCACTTTGTTTTCTAGGGAAATATATTTATTTGTTAAATTGTACAGAGCTTATTGTCTTCACTCTTTTATGTTACTTATTTCATTAGACCATAAACTCATGACAATGAGTTACAAGGCACTATGGCCTTTTGCAGAGCTGGGTGTATGTGTTTATGGGTCACAAGGCATAATGGCCCTTTGTAATGCTGGGCATATGTGTTTATGAGTCACAAGACACTATGGACCTTTGTAATGCTATGCATATGGGTTTATGGGTCACAAGGCAAGATGGCCCTCTGCAATTTTAGGCATATGGGTTTCTGGGTCACAAGGCATCTGCCTGTTATAATAAAGAAGGAAAGGGCATTACAAAGCAGAAACACCACATACCAAATCTGACCCTAACTGCATCATGAATGCCACTAACATGTTTGAAATCATAGAACCTCTATTTTAAGAGTGTCTAAAGCTCAAGTGTACATGTGAAGAGAATGTAAATGACATTACAAATATTACTAATAACATAAAATTGTCCTGTAGGCTGAGTGCATGTGTGTGTGTGTGTGTGTGTGTGTGTGTGTGTGTGTGTGTGTGTGTGTGTGTGTGTGTGTGATTTGGAGTTTTAACATAGCTTTCAAACATTTTCAGTCATATTACTATAATATCTGCAGTGTGGCAGTTTATAGCGATGTCTAACACTGGGGCATAATGCCACAGATATGCAGCATGATGTCCCACCCAGTCACATTATTTTGACACCAGGCCAACCAGTCTTAACACTAACCTCTTAATGCTGAACACATAGTGAGGTATCTGTAACCTGTTAGTACCATTTTTGTAAGTCTTTGGTATGACATGGCCAGGGTTTAAACCCGCAACTTCCTGCATCTGAGGAGATTATATCACAATATTATTTCATGTGCCTTATGATAAGCATATAAAACAGGAACCTAGTGACAAAATGCCTCTCAACTTTTTCATCTAAGATACTGGTCAAATATTTAATGGTATGTTCATTTTATATTTTTCTCAGACAACAATGTATTTTATGCATATGGATTTACACAATATTAGGTACTTTTTATTTATTTATATATAATTACAATTCCTTTCTCCAAGATGATCTGAAAGCTGAAAATTAATTTTTGCATCATAAACAAAACACTGATCTAGATCTCTATGCTATGTTGATGAAGTAAACACAGAAAAATGTCTGAATAGACCAAATTTAATAAAGTCAAACAAATTCATAGTGGGACCCTGGCTGGCAAAGTGGTCTAAAACACTTGCCTTTATCAATCACAGTTGTCTCACATCTGTCCTTGTGGGTTCAAATCTTGGGTTTGGCTACAGTGGGTTTTCGAGAAATCTTGCTAACAGCTTCCTGGTAGATCTACCAGGGTTATTCCTCAACCAGTTATAGTGACCTATCATGTGTTGAAAAAAATGGCATTAAGCCTACAATAATAATAACTGATTCATGCTAAAA